CCAAGCTCTCCTCCACGCCGCCCCTCAGCGCCCTGGGACGCCTGGCAGAGGCGGCCGTGGCGGAGAAAAGAGCCATCTCGCCCTCCATCAAGGAGCCGTCTGTCATCCCCATCGAAGGTGAGGCCTCGCTGCGCTGCTGCCGTCACACGAAAGCCTCGGGATAACTTTTTTCTCTGCTCATCACAGGAGTCTTTCTTGAAGCCCACACAGTAATTATGTGCTGTCCTCGAGGGTTTCCATCCCTGGGTACAGAGCTGAAGTAAAGGTTTTCTCTTTCGTTGGCATTGGATTTTGTTCTTTCTGTCTGACAGCTGTTTAGTAGCCCTATGTGAAATACTCCCTTGAGGAAATCTCAAAGTCTGGATTGTGGTATTTTATTTACATAGTTCTTTAACAAACTCCGGGTCTGGATGTTGCCTTTTGAATTGTCATTCAGTTTCTGATGTTGGATACATTTGTAGAGTGTACTAACACGGCAAAACAGTGAAGGGGCACTGTCAGTTTCAAAACAGAGCTTGTAATGGCAATTTAGTAGGGAAAAGCTGTCACAGGAGCTAAAAGTGAGCTGGTTTGTTCTTTGCTGTCCCTTGTGATTGGTCCTGAAGCACCTCAGGGTGGTTATTTAGTAAGAGGGTAAATGCTGATGCCTGTGTGTTGGTGGTTGCAGTCATCCCCACGGTGCTGTTGGATGAGATTGAGGCAGCAGAGGCAGAAGGCAATGATGACCGCATTGAGGGAGTGCTGTGTGGAGCTGTGAAGCAGCTGAAGATGAACAGAGCCAAACCTGACACCACTCTGTACCTGAGCCTTATGTACCTGGCAAAAATCAAACCAAACATATTTGCCACCGAAGGGGTTATCGAGGTGAGGAATTGTCAAGTTACTGATGGATCATTCTTGCCAAATTGTGAGCAGAGTTGGACTTTCTCCGCTGCCAGAGTGTGATCTGCATGGCTTTGTAAATACCAGAACTCTGTGACAAGCTGCTGCAATTTGTATTTCTCTTTCTGCAGCTTCTCTGTGTGCTTTCTCAATAGATGACTTGTTTATTATTTTTTTGTGGATGTTATTCCAGGCACTGTGCAGCCTACTCCGAAGAGATGCCTCCATCAATTTCAAAGCCAAAGGGAATAGTCTTGTGTCTGTCTTGGCATGCAACCTTCTCATGGCAGCTTATGAAGAGGATGAGAACTGGCCAGAGATCTTTGTCAAGGTTGGTGAGCTGAGAGGGCTTCTGCTGGACTGAGGCAGTGGTGGGCAGACTGGGCTGGGAAATGTGGATGTGTTGGAGTAGGACAGCAGCATAAGATCTATTACAGCTGTAGGGAAGGGGAGGACTAGTGTCCTCTTGCCCACTGTGGGAATGCAGCTGGAGGAGGCAGAAATTTGAGTCTGGGCCCATCCTTTTAAAGAAAAATCTCCACGGGTTTCTGGAATGTAGCCTCCATTGCCTTTTGTTGCCTTATCTCTGCTCTTTTCTGAGATGTCTTTGAGAGTCTGTATTGATGTAAGTGTTGCAGAGACTCCTTGCTTTCTATTTGGTGTGTAGGGATTAAAGCAATCCATTAACTTAAAAAGGCTGAGCTGACCAGCTTCTGTATCTTTTGATGGTAGAAGTTGTTGTAAAGTTTTTTTTGAGAAGGTGCCCAATAGAGCTTGGGATGTGATGATGTGTATTTTTGCTCTGGTATGATCTGGTTTTCATCCATGCACTGGTTATGCTAGTTTCCTACTCTGTATTTTGGAAATCCATAAAAAACGAACAAATACTTCTTTGATTAACCCCATGAAAATGGATTGTGCTCCCTGCTGCAGGTGTACATTGAGGACTCCCTTGGGGAGCGCATCTGGGTGGACAGCCCTCACTGCAAGACATTTGTGGATAACATCCAGACAGCTTTTAACACAAAGATGCCTCCTAAGACCATGCTCTTGCATGGAGAAGTTGGACGTAGTGGAGGGGACCTTAGTGCTGGTAAGATGTTTGGGAACCAGGAACAAAGGTTTAGGGAGAGGATGGAGCCTGCACTGTAAATTGACTTGTGAGAATAGTTTGGTACTGGATGGAGTCACATAGGCCAGGCTTTGAGTATCATGCATTGCCTTTCTTCTTTCTGAGGCTCTTTCATGTCCAGGGGATGTTTGAGGGTAGTGAAAAATGGGCCTGTATGGGATGCAGTGTGAGAGGCTTTAGTCGTGCTGAAAGGTATCCCTGAAAGAAACTGAGCAAACGAGCACAAGTGATTGATCTGTAGAGAGAGGAATTGTCTTATGCAGTGTACTGTGTCCTGGTGTCTCTTAGGGAGTAGCCCACACCCTTCCATGACAGAGGAGGAGGACAGCCAGAGTGAGCTGCTGATTGCAGAGGAGAAAATGAGTCCAGAGCAGGCGGGCCAGCTCATGCCCAGGTACAGTGCCTCTTCCTCTCCTTTCACAGCTGTGTGGCAAATGTGTCAGTAGATGTGTCTGTGCTCACCTACCCTGCAGAGCTGTGGCATGAAGCTCCTTCTCTGTGCTCCTATGGCACCTGCTGGGGGATGTTGAACATCAGATAAAACTGGTTCCAGAAGGAAAGAGTGGATTTTCTTGGTTTGCAAGTCATACCACAAACAAGAAAGAGTGCTGATCTCTGGACTGGCTTTTGTGGAAATGAGTAAAGTTCAAATTTGTGTGGCCCAGGTATGAAGACCTTGCAGAGAGTGTGGAGGAATATGTCCTAGACATGCTTCGGGACCAGCTGAACCGGCGCCAGCCCATGGACAATGTCTCCAGGAACCTCCTCCGGCTGCTGACAGCCACCTGTGGCTACAAAGAGGTGCGTCAGATGGCTGTGCAGAGGCTGGAGATGTGGCTGCAGAATCCAAAGGTAAGGAGAGGAGCTGTTGAAGCACAACCCTGGTCTGGAATCCAGCCAGGACAGCTGCATACTGTAAGCCAGATATGTTTCTGGTCTGTAATGGTGAGCGGCTGGAGTCTTTCTGCTCTTTTTCTGCAGCTGACCAAACCAGCTCAGGACTTGCTGATGTCAGTCTGTATGAACTGTAACACCCACAGCTCAGAGGACATGGAAGTTGTGGTTTTAAATGCCAGCTTGGGGCATGGAGTGTCTTGTGTTCATTTAAATAAATTTCATTGTCCTAGAAATCTTCCAGTAGTCCTTTGATACTGTCATATGATATGTGCTGTTCCATTCTTTTCACTTTTGTGTGCCAAATACTTCAAGGGGAAATGAAAAGAACGTGTCCAGCTGCCATGAAATGTCAGTTCAGGTATCCCTGGTCTTCCCTTGCAGAGAGCTGCTGAATGCACACAGGGATAACCTGGGCACCACCATTAAGTTTGTGATTTTCAATGAACTATCAAATGCAAGAAATCCCAACAACATGCAGATCCTGTATACTGTGCTTCAGCACAGCTCAGAGCAAGCTCCCAAGGTAGGTGCTGGATGACTGACAGTAACCCCAGAACCCCACCTGACAGATTCTTTTGAGGCTCAGATGAATCTTTTCACAGACAGCTGTCTGATCTGTATCATGCTATTTTGAAATTACATAATTATTCCTGATAGGAATAAACGTAAGTGTGCATTTTTGAGCTCCCACATTCTGGGTGATAATGCAGTTTCACGAGAGAAACATTATTGCAGCTGCCCAGGGGTCTGAAGGACTGGATACCTCCAGCATGGTTTCTTTGTGTCTCTTCATTTTGTGGATGCAGAGCCATTACAGTGCACTGAAAGTTTTCTCTCTGTGTGGCCCCAGTACCTGGCAATGGTGTTCCAGGACCTGCTGACCACCAAGGATGATTACCTGCGAGCTTCACGGGCTCTGCTGAGAGAGATCATCAAACAGACAAAACACGAGATCAACTTCCAGGCCTTCTGTCTGGGTCTCATGCAGGAACGGAAGGAGGCCCTGTATGCAGAGATGGAATTCAAGGTACCATTTTTGGCCTTTGTGCTGCTGGATGTGCCAGTGACACACTGAGCTCTTCTGTGTCTGCTTTCCTGGCCATTCTTTCTTTTGCTCTTTGGTGTCTGAGTGAGTCACTATTTGTGTGTCTCATAGCAGCACTCCCATATCTTATTTCCAAACATCCATGTTCATAATTTTTGATGACAAAACACTTCCAGAAGGCAGCTCTGGGTGTTGCTATTCAACTCTTTTTTTGTTCTATTTTAAGGAGCGGTTTGTCATCCACATAACTGACCTGCTAGCTGTCTCCATGATGCTTGGTATCACAGCCCAGGTGAAGGAGGCAGGAATTGCTTGGGACAAAGGAGAGAAAAAGAGTAAGCAGAAGAATCTAGGTTCTCTCTGAGGATGGGCATGTTGGTAGATATATGTCCCTGATGCTGGGAGAACACCAGCTAGGGGTGGGAGCCTGCTGTCATCCTGGGACTGACAGATCTAGGAAATGTGGCATTTTCGTGGCCAGGTACTTCTTGTATCTCTGGAAGCAGTGGCTGAGAGACTGGGGAAAGGGAGCTGTGGGTGGAGGGGCCTCAGACCTGAAGGGGTAGCTGTAAGGATTAAGGGGCTGGGAGGACAGGCCTTTGGTGTGGCACTGACATCACTGCCCACATGCCTTCTCATAAAACTAATCCATCTGTGCCTTATGTTGGGGGTTTTACTGCAGCATGTCTCAGAAAGCAAAGAACGTGCTGTCAGAGCTGGGGGGATCAAGTTTTTCTCGTATACTCCTCTGGTTCCCCTTCTCTAGTGGAAGGTGTCCCTGCCTGTGGTGCAGGAATTGGAACAAGATTATGTTTAAGGTTCCTTCCAACACAAACTATTCTGTGATTCTATGATTTACTGCTGATGCCTCAGAGTCCTGGTTACTGTCTTGAAACCACCACTTTTCTGATGGGGCCCATGTGTGTATTTTGTGACCTGACTGTTTTTTCAGACCTGGAAGTGCTGCGCTCTTTCCAGAACCAAATTGCTGCTATCCAACGTGATGCTGTCTGGTGGCTGCACACAGTTGTTCCATCTATCAGCAAACTAGCTCCAAAGGACTATGTGCACTGGTGAGATTCAGCCTGGTCACGTCTGTCATGTCTGTGCATAACCTGTCCCTTCCCCAACACTATGATAAATTATGAAAAACCAGGTATACACTGGGGTTTGGTTAGATTTCCCTCCCATTTTCAGATAGGGTACAGAAACAGTTTTAGCAGGGCTTAGGGAGTGTCTCCCTCTCTGAAATTCCTTCAGGTGCATTCTCATACCAGAAACATATGATAATGGAAAAAAAAATCTGATTTATATTATTTGGGTCCACTCAGTAGGCAATTTTTAGCTATTTGACCAAACAGATTCCCTGTGGACTCCTTGTTGTTTTTTTGAGATACTTTTTAGGGCTTTATGGGTGAGGGCTCCACAGATAGTTCTGTCTTCTGGAGTACAGATGGTATCCTGGGTCTTGACACAAGGCATTACTGAGGCAGTTCAAGCCAGAATTAATAGTAAGCAAGATAAATTACCGAAAGTATAAAAGCCCAGAGCCCATATTGTATAGTCCTCTCTGTTCTGAATCATGTTGTTTTCTGAGGGGGCTCCTTCATGTGTAGGATGGGAAGATTTAGCAGGATTTGGGGGAGACTGGACTTCTGTATGGGTTCTTAAGCCTCACAGATGGTGGTTACTGTCCTCTTTATCTCTACAGCCTCCACAAGGTGCTCTTCACAGAACAGCCAGAAACCTACTACAAATGGGACAACTGGCCCCCTGAGAGTGACCGCAAGTGAGTGTGTGCCCCTCCCATGGCGGGTGCAGGAGGGGAGCTGCTCTAGCTGGAGGCAGAGGAATAGGTTTTCTGGTGATCCTTATATAGCTCTGTGTTGGGAAGGCTTGGAACTGTGCTCAGATTTTCTTCATCTGTTACACTGCCATAAAATTGGGGGGTGTTGTTCCACTCTCCATCTGTTCCTCTTCCTCCTTCATTCCTGTTCCCTGTGCCAAGCTGTTCTGTATCATGATGCTGGAGTTGTATGGAGGGCAGCCCGGCTGTGCGTGGGTAACTGGGGTAACTTAGGGAGTTCAGATTCAAAGAGGCTGAAGCTTAGAGGTACAAGGCAATGCAAGTGATACTCAGATAATGATTTGTTTCAAATAGTTGCATTTGGAGCTGGAGATGAGGGATGGTGGTGTAAACTAAGCTGTGGTGTATCTTCTGCTCCGATGAGTTGTAGGGTCTGTGGAGGGTTCCAGGAGTCCTCACCCTGCTCTCCAAAGAAGTGTGATTGATATCTCGTGTCTCCTGCAGCTTCTTCCTTCGCCTGTGCTCGGAGGTGCCCATCCTGGAGGACACCCTGATGCGCATCCTTGTGATCGGATTGTCGCGGGACCTGCCCCTGGGCCCCGCCGATGCCATGGAGCTCGCCGACCACTTGGTGAAGAGGGCTGCAGCTGTGCAAGCAGATGGTGAGGCTGCACAGAGCTCCCACCAGCAAGTGCTTGCTTCTGTCTCCACGTCCTCCTATTGCCACCCAGGGCTGAGACAGCTCCTACCACCTACCAAAGAGCCTTTGCATCACTTAAAGCATATTTTAGTCGTGATGGCTAAGCATTTGGCTCAAAGCCAGACATGTATTGCTGTTGCTTTCTCACTAGAGAAGCTTCTTATTTTCTCTTACTGTTTCTCTCTGTTACTAATTTTGTATCATGGAGTGTTTGGGAAATTATTGGCTGTGTGGAGAATGAAGGGCTGTGAACAACCACTCAGAGTTTTGAGTCAGCGTTTTTAAATTCAATTTAGTCCTTTGTACATACTGTAAAATGAAATGTATAGGCTATGCAAAAATGGAAGCATTGGAAGTTAAATTAATTAACCAATTGTGTGCTCTTACCAAGCCCATTACTGGGACACTTACAGATTAGTAGTTACAAAAGCAATCTTTATTCTTACCCCTTTTATGAATTCATTTAGCATTTGTCTAAATTCCTGCATTGCTGGGAAATGCATCCATTCAGCTGAGCTGTTTGTGTTTGTGGTAGAATTGAGGGTGTTGTCATAGTTTGATTCTAAAGCATCTTACATGCTCGTAGTGCTGACTGGATAACGGCAAAGAGTCATCCTGAACTGCTCAGTGTTTGTGGAAGGATCTAGACTTTGCTGTTCAGTATCCTGTCAAAATGTGCCCAACCTCTCATATAGGATTTTAAATCCTGCACCATTTCATACACTGGAAGATTTTGAATTAGAGTGAGTCTGCAAACTTACAACAAATTTGAAATGCATTTTTAGTTTCTCTGAGCACCTGAAGTTCTGAGCAGATTTGTTGCTTACCTGAAGGAGTGTGTCCAAGTTCTGAAAAAGTTACAAGTCTCATTTTGGATGCATTTGGGAAAGAAAGTACCCTTAAGAATTTAAACCACATTGCTGCTGAAAAGTTCCATATCTTTATATAATGACTTATAGGATTTTTGTAATTGTTGTTGCTCTCTAAATATTGATTGTTTTGTTTCTGTAATATCGTGACAGCAAGCCCACAATAACATAGTTGCTTGAAGTGATTTTTGGTTTTTTATGCTGTAATTCTTTTCTTGAAGGAAGTAGAGAGGTCAGTAACACGTTCAGTCTTTTCTTCTCCAGATGTTGAGGTCCTGAGGGTAGAAAGAATCCAGCTGATCGATGCAGTCTTAAATCTGTGCACTTATCACCATCCAGAGAATATCCAGCTACCTCCAGGGTAAGATTTATCACATAGATAATCTTGCTGTGATCCAGCTCACTTTCACCTTGTGACTAACATTCACAGCTCACAGATTTTAACATCCTTTTTTCTATTAAAAGTTGTAGTAACAAGGAAGTCTTTTCAGGGTCATGTTCAGGTGGGTATTTCTCTAGAGCAATCAACACCTGAGTCATGGAATGTACTTCAGTCTGCAAGCACTGACCTTTCTGCCCTAGAAATCTTCAGCTCAATCCTGCTGTCCCCCCTGGAAGGATTTTTGTGTTTGTGTATGTCTGTGTCTGTTTGTTGGGAAAAACACTGAACTGGCATGACTGAATCTAAACAGTGCATGATTAAGGAGAAAAGCAAACTTGAGATGGGCTTAAGGAACCAAACTTGACCACTTACCTCTATTGATGGCTTTTGCAGGTACCAGCCTCCAAATCTAGCTATTTCTACTCTCTACTGGAAAGCCTGGCCTCTCCTGCTTGTAGTGGCTGCGTTCAATCCTGAAAATATTGGTGAGTGTGGACATTTCTCAGGATACCAGTTCTGCTGCAAAAATTGGCCAATGTGCTCTCTGCAGAAGTCTGGTTGCTTGTGTGCAAGGGCTGTGCTAGGTTGGTGAGGTACCTGCACTTAAATAACTGTGTATCCCTTATGGGGGAAAAATGCATGGAGGTGGGATTTGGACCAGTGTGTGGCTGGAATTGCCTTGTTTGTGCTCTTTAAGAGCTGTTCTCAAGTGAGTTTGTGTCTCCCCACCTTGGAATGTGTTAGAGTATATATAAAGGCTCTATTTTTTTCCTGTATTCCTTATTGTTCTTTTCTTCCTTGCTGCAGGTCTGGCTGCATGGGAGGAGTACCCCTCTCTAAAGATGCTCATGGAAATGGTCATGACCAAGTTAGTATGGTTAAATCCCTACGTATATCACACATTTCTGAATTAAGTTTGTGCCATGTGACTCCTTCCTTTCCAGCAGGACTTGTGTAAAATAAACTGGCATCAACACTGCAGCTGGATTGGGAAAAGTGCCTTCTCTCGACAAAAATGTTACAAGCAAGGGAATAAAGCTGAGAAAAAGGGGGAGGGGGATGATTGCTGAGCCTTGCTGAGAAGGTTGCAGTCTCCTGGCTCCACTGAGAAACTTCTTGGTTTTATCTACATTGTCTATCAGGACCGAAGTCCTGTGATCTTTCTGACTGTGGTTCATGAATTTTGAATAGAATACAATAACTATTTCCTTTCTTTAAACTTATCTTCTCAGTAATTATTCCTATCCTCAATGTACCTTGACGGATGAGGAGACACGCACAGAGATGATTAATCGTGAACTTCAAATCTCCCAGAGAGAAAAACAGGAGATTCTTGCATTTGAGGGTCATCTGGCAGCTGCATCCACAAAACAAACAATTACAGAAAGCAGCAGCCTCTTGCTGTCCCAGCTGACAAGTCTGGACCCTCAGTAAGTAGCCTTCTGCATTCTGGTACCATCATGAACTCCTCATTAACAACACTAGAAAGGAAACCCTGCTTCCCCACAGGGTGGTTGATGTGGGGAAGAAGAACCCTGTGGTGTGGTAGCCCATGGGATCACAGAATCACAGAATGATTTTGGCTGGAGGATCATCTGGTTCCAAGCTGCCTGCTACCTTTCTATAAACCCCTCAGGCACTACAGAACTGACTGATCCTCATCACATCAGAGTGAAAGTCTGTCAGCCTGTGGGTAACTTGCTGTTTTTGTGACAGGGGCCCCCCTCGCAGACCTCCACCACATGTCCTGGAGCAGGTGAAAAGCCTGAACCAGTCTCTTCGCTTGGGCCACCTTCTGTGTCGCAGTCGCCATCCTGACTTTCTTCTCAACATCATTCAAAGACAGGTGGGCTGTGGTGGGACTGGATCCCTTGCCTCTGAGACTTGAGCAGAGTGAGGGGCAAAAGGAAGCTAAGTGAGATTCAGGGGAAGGAGGTTTGCTGCTCAGGAATTGAATGATCAGTGTGCTGCTTCTATGTTCTGATCTTGTTATTCTCATGCTTCCCAGGCCTCATCACAGTCAATGCCATGGCTGGCAGATCTGGTTCAGTCCAGCGAGGGCTCCTTGGATGTCCTGCCCGTGCAGTGTCTTTGTGAGTTCTTGCTTCATGATGCTGCTGATGAATCGACCTCAGGTGAGGAAGAAGAGGAGGGTGAGAGTAAGGACCAGCGTGCCAAGAAACGCCAGGTGAGCAGTCTCATTGGGATCCCTTCTGTTACATACTTTCTGTGCATCCCAGATTTGATTTCACTGGACAAACCAACTTGTCACTCCACAGAGACAGCAGAAACAAAGGCAGTTGCTTGGACGCTTGCAAGACTTGCTGTTGGGACCCAAAGCAGATGAACAGACAACCTGTGAGGTGCTTGACTACTTCCTGCGGCGCCTGAGTTCCTCCCAGGTGGCTTCCCGGGTCCTGGCCATGAAGGTGAGCAGAATATCTTGACTAGGGTCTGTCTGCAGCCCAGGGCAGAGCCCTAGGTTATCTTGAGTCCAGAGCCAGCACAGTGAAATTGTTTCATGTCATTCTCCTTCAGTGACTTGTCTCAATCTCCAAACCCCATCCTGCTGCTCAGAAGTTATTGTTCAACAGCTGAGTTGTACTTAAGACAGAGCTGGATTTTACTATGTTCCCTGTGAAGTTCAGTTGTAGACTCAGGAACTTGCATGCTACGTGGGGTAATTGGCAGAGGCTGCTGTCTGTGAGGAGTGTGAGTGAGAGCCTGGTGCTCTGGAGCATATACAAGGCAAAGAGACTTTCAGGGAGCTCAGAAAGATCCTGCTCAGACTGAAACTTCCAGCAGCGTATCTGTCAAGAAAACACATTATATGAGATGAAACCTGTTGTGTGCTGAATTTGGATCATTCTATGGTGTTTGAAGCATGTTTCTGTTACATTCACTAGCATGAAACTAGAAATCCAGCTGTGGCTTCATATGCAACAGCTGGATCTGTGTGACTTGTGCAGGGCCTGTCCTTAGTGCTGTCGGAAGGAGGAATGCGTGATGGGGAGGAGAAGGATCACCCCATGGAAGAAGACTCTGGTGATTCTGAGCTGCTGCAGGGATATCAGTGGCTGCTGAGAGACCTCCCGAGGCTGCCACTGTTTGACAGTGTGAGAGCCACAACAGCTCTGGCCTTGCAGCAGGTGGGTGAAAGCACCTGAAGGGAGGAGTGTCAAGCTTGTTCTTTTTCTACTAGTGCTGAAACAGATCTAAAGAAACTGGATATGGCTATGATATTGACATGTTTATGTGCTTGCAGAATAATTTTGCTTATGTTGGTGCTTGTTTTCATTAAATTGTGATTTTTAATGAGAGGAATTCTCATTCTAGGCCATCCACATGGAGACAGATCCCCAGACCATCAGTGCTTACCTGGTGTACCTCTCCCAGCATGCCCCAGTGGAGGAGCAGGGGCAGCACAATGACCTTGCTCTGGTGAGAGGAGGGATTGTGTGGGGGACAGTGGTAGGCATGGAACTTGCTGTACCACCAGGATGAGTTCTGGGGAGTGTGTTACTCTGAAAACTGCATGTTTGTGTCTCTGTGCATGGGTTGAAAGGCAAACCTGTGTCTTTGTTTTATATAATGAAATGGTAGTCAGAGCAATAACTTCCAGTGCAGCAGCCCATGAGCTGGAATGGGGAATGCAAGAGTGGATAGTGGTTTGATGGAAATCACACCACCTGGCAGTGTTTCATAATAAGTAAGCAAGTGCTAAACCTGCAATCATATGTGCTTGGGGAGAGAATGGGAGGTCATAAAATTTAGAGGTGGGATATGTGCTCCCCTATAACCAAAACTAGATTTCTTGGTTTATTTGTGTGAGTTTCTTTTTAGAAAAGCTTTTGGTGACTTTTTTTATAATGATTTTTTAAAAATTTTTTTCTCCCTGGGAGCTTTTTTTGTTGCTTTTAAGACTCACGTGCTGATAGTGCCTCTGTGTAGATATATGGAGGAGGTTGAATGATAAACATCAGTAGATCATTTTCTTCAGAGAAATGCTATGTAAATGCTTACTTTGTAATAGGGTGCATCAGAACACAGCTGTGCTCCACTGGAGCACTGTGAGATGCATGCAAAGCACTGGCCTCTTCCCTCCTGTGTCAGTTCTACTCTTGAGTCCACGAGCTGATCTCCAGAGCGGTGTGTGCTGGGCTGGTGATGGGAACTGGAGAACATGATGCAGTGAAACAGGGAGTCCTGGCTGTGTTTTGCAGTAAAGACCTCCTGGATGTTTTTTCTCTGCAGGATGTTGCCCGTCTGATCGTGGAGCGCTCCACCATCATGTCCCACCTGTTCTCCAAGCTCTCCTACAGTGCTGAGTCAGATGCAGTGCTCGTGGCTCTGCTCTCCATCTTCTCCCGCTACATCAAGCGCATGCGGCAGAGCAAGGAGGGCGAGGAGGTGTACAGCTGGGTGAGTGCCTCCTGTCTTCCCCCAGCAGGTCACAGAGACTGGGCAGGTTAACAAAACAGAAACCCTTTATGGGTTACTCAACTGGAATAAACCAAGTCCAGCTCAAGAATTTGCTGGTCTGAAAATAACCAGATCATGACATAGTATCAGAGCCAAGCCTATGTGTCTGTAAAAAGCCTTTTTAACTTTTCCCCAAGTATCTTTTGTTGCCACTGTTGGAGATATTAGGAACTATGGTCTGACTAAATTTGTCCATTCTCATGTCCTTTCTCTCCCCACCTTTGCTCATCCTGTCTTTTCCTGCCTTTTTCCAGTCAGAGTCCCAGGATCAGGTGTTCCTTCGTTGGACTAGTGGGGAAACAGCCACCATGCACATCCTTGTGGTCCATGCCATGGTTATTCTCCTGACACTGGGGCCACCTCAAGGTTGGTGAAGTATGCTTTTCTCTATCTGTTGTCTCCTAACAGGTCAGGCTGGTGTTAATCCTTCTACTCACAGGCTTGACCCTTGCAGCTGTAAGATTTATCAGAATATTGCTGCAGAGAGTGAAGGATTTGCAGGCTTATTTTTTTTTTTCTTTTTTTTGCCCTCTGCAGACAGCAAGAAATACTAAAACAGTGGCGTGTTCTGGTGTATTGATAGAGAAGGGCAGGGCTTTCTAGGTGCTCGTGGACATGGGAAATAATTTTTTATCCATTTTTAAGCAGGGGATGGTGATTTTTATACCTTACTGGATATATGGTTCCCGGAGAAAAAGCCCCTTCCTACTGCTTTTCTGGTTGACACCTCTGAGGAGGCTCTGCTGCTCCCTGACTGGTTGAAGCTGCGGATGATCCGCTCCGAGGTCCCGCGTCTCGTTGATGCAGGTGAGCCTGTGGCATGTTTGTTGGTGTTTCAAGTCCTGCTGAAAGGAAAGGGAGATGTTTCCCTGCTCAAATGTGCCCAGCCATCCTTCTTGGATGCCTTTGGGTGGAGCCATCTATCACTGTTACTTTTAAAGTAGGAGAGTGAGTCTGAATGGATATTCCCCTTCCTGTGTATTTTAAAGGAATGGGAGACTCTTAATTGAGGTCCCATCTCTTTTACAACAATTCAGATAGAGCTAAGCTATGCAATCACCAGACAACAGCTGTGGAAAGCTGTGCTTTAAGGATGTAAGCTAAACCTCTGGTTACTCTGGTCCTCATATCACTCGTCAGTGCTCTCTTTCTTCTTGGTATTCAGAGCTTTCATCCCATTTTACTAATTAAATGACAGCTGTCTATAGCCAGTGATTGAATTATTCAATAATTCCTGCCTGCAGCCATCAAGAGATAGTGTGGAAGTTATTTTTTAATACGAATGATTGCATTACTGAGGTTCTAATAAAATTAAACAGAAGATCAGATTAGCCAGTGAGTGAATTAACTGGAAGATGCAATAAGGCGACAATGATTTGCAGAGGGAAGGAAATATAGTAGGCAGCTGTCAGACTTCTGGCTTTAGGCTCTCTGCAGCCTGTCATTAATGTGTCACTGTTGGTCCAGACAAAAGCATAAAGATCAGGTAATAAAGATGACCCTCCACAGACAGTTGAGAAGTGTGAGAACTCAATGTTTTTCTTTTTCAGCCCTGCAGGACCTGGAGCCACAGCAGCTGCTTCTCTTTGTTCAGTCCTTTGGAATCCCAGTTTCCAGCATGAGCAAACTTCTTCAGTACCTGGATCAGGCAGTATCTCATGACCCACAGACACTGGAGCAGAACATCATGGACAAGAGTAAGCTACAGATGAGGCTGACTAGGCATTTAATGTTTTCTTGAACAGTTTCCAAGAGTATCTCCTGTGACTTCATTGGAAAAATCCAATCTAGTTCAGCAAACTTTGTGCACAGGCTGCTTTGGCAACTTGTTGTCACTGTAGACACCAGGGTGGCCCTTGGCTGTATTTCACAAAATAGAGGAAGATTTTTTTTTTGTGTTGGAATGTACAGGGTCCAAAAGTACTTTGGAATGTACTTTGTACAGAAGAAACAAAGTTTTCAAGGCGTCATATTTACAAAGTCTGTGGGAACATCAGATTCTCTTGTCTGTGAGAGCTGTACAAACAGCCAGTTTTGTCCTGCTTTACTGAAGAGAGCAAGATGATGATGTGCTCTTATTTCCTCCTTCTTTCAGACTACATGGCTCATCTTGTGGAGGTTCAACATGAGAGAGGAGCAACAGGAGGCCAAACTTTCCACTCCCTGCTTACTGCCTCCTTACCAGCCCGCCGAGGTACTGCCCGGGATAGCCTAAATATCAAAGTCATCTTCTGAACTTCCCTCCTTTGTTGCTGTTGAGAGGAACAGGCAGAGACTGTCATGTTAAAAAGCAGTCATGTTGCAATAAACCAGCAAGCTACAGTTAGACATCAGTCCTTGCTAGAGCTTTTTGCTTCTGGCAAAGAGAGAAATTCCAGTATTTTTGGAGTTTATTGCAGTGAGTTTTTCTGAGTCATATGGAAAAGTAGGTCTTGCTTGGAATTAAGAGAAAAGCTGCTGAATTTCTCAGTAGTTAGAGACTGTAAAGCTGAAGGTGACTGGTGGTGTGACTCCAGTTGCTATCTACCATAACAGCATTTCCCTTTGTTTCCTTTTATTCCTCTTGCAGACAGCGCTGAGACTGCAAGGTCAAAATCTAGTCCTGAAAACTCTCAGAGTCAGAGTCGGATCCGGGCCTTGAGCCAGGTCCGTGTTCTGGGCCCAGAAGATGATCTGGCAGGCATCTTTCTGCAGGTACTGTTACAACCACCAGCTGAGTAGCTGCTTCCCTGCAGCAGCTTTACAAAATCCATTTCTCTTATACCTGCATCTTGTGACTCTTTATCCTGCAGTGTTTGCAGGCAAAAAATATGAAAGCTCTGATGCAATGAGGCTGTGCCATTACAGCCTGGTGGAGCTGATATTGGCAGGAATTTTTTCTTGTAGTTGGAACGTGATGTGGCTTTTGATCATGCCTAGTACTGTCAGTACCTACTAGCATGTTGCTGTCTCTGCACCTTGTTTGTTCTGTGCACAGTGCCTTTCCTCTCAGCAGTGGATTCAGGATTTGTGAAATGCTCACTGGGCCCTGGCAGCAAAGCTGTGTGCAAACAGCATTTGTGCTCTGGCTTGTCTGCCTACAGAGCTTCCCTCCCTCCACTGACTGCAGAAGGAGCCTACAGGGAATTAATTGGCCAAGTTGGTTGTTGGTGTTTGGGTAGGAGGATTCCCCTGCAGTGTCAGTGTTGATAGTCATGTTGGGGTTGCAGAAATGCTGCTTATGTTCATGTGGCAGGCACTAGAATATCGAAAAAGCTGTATCAGAAGGTTCCCGTTAGCCTACAGTCAGCATAACTGTACAAGGTAAATCGCTCCTCTGCCTCAGAGTGTTCCTGGTACAACATTCCTTTCACTGCCTGTCATAAATGTACTTCCTGTTGTATCCCCTAGCTTTTCCCACTGACCCCAGACCCGCGGTGGCAGAACTCCAGCCTGCGGCCGCTGGCCCTGGCACTGCAGCAGGCGCTGGGGCAGGAGCTGGCTCACATCCGCCAAGGGGCCACGGCCAGCGGGACCGCAGGGAGCGGAGCCACGGACAGCGGGATCAAGGACAGCGGGATCAAGGACAGTGGGATCACAGACAGTGGGATCACAGACAGTGGGATCACAGACAGTGGGATCACTGCACGGGTGCTGCAGGCCTTGGCTGCACTGCTCAACTCCACACACAGCGGCGCCCTGGTCATGGCCATGCATCGCCACCACTTCATCTCCTGCCCGCTCATGCGCCAGCTCTACCAGTACCACGTGAGTGGCTTTGGGAGCTTTTCATAAAGAGGGGTGGGGGAGAAATGGGAAATCTGCAGTGCATTTGCTCTGCTGTGTGCACACTTTGTAACGCTCAGCTCAGGTTGCCTGGCCATGGGCATCTGGATGCAGGCTGGCCACATTAGCCTAGCACTGCTGAGATTACCTGCAGAGTTAATGTACCTTACCTAGCCTGGTAACCTTTTTTTGGACTTACAGGTGTAGGTCTCTGTTGGTTTTGGGATCTCTAGTCTGTGCTGTTCTGTAGCATTGGACATGTCTTGCAAGCCAAGGCATTTGCAGACAGTTTGAGAGCTGAAGTCTAATTCACAGAGTCATAAAACGGTTTGGGTTGGAAGGGACCTTAAAGATCACCTAGGTCCAATTTCCTTGCCATGGGCAGGGGCAACCTTCACTAGACCAGGTTGTTCCAAGCCCATCCAACCTGGCCTTGAACACTTCCAGGGATGGGGAGTCCAGAACTTCTGGGCAACCTCTGCCAGTGCCTCACCACCCTCACTGTAAAGAATTTCTTCCCAGCGCTCCATGCCACAGGACACTGCCTTCTCCTCGCTCTTCTTCAAAGTGCTCATGCAGATGCTGCAGTGGTTGGAGAACCCCGCGGTGGAAGATGGTCCCCTGCGAGCTCAGCTGAAGGCCTTTGCTGTGCAATACTCCTCAAGGCACAGGATCAGTGATGGTACTGGCACTGGGCAGCTTATGGGACTCAGAGGGGACTAAGTGGGACAAGAAAGAGACAAAACTGCACCTGGAGCAGGAAGTGTCATGAGCAGCCTTTTAGACAGGTGTCATAAGGAGTTACAAAAGTAGCACACTGTGCTGCAGAAGCTTTTTGAGGCTGTGAACAAGTGCCTTAACCCTGGGGACTTGCAGTAGACACCTGGTAGTATGTCACCAAGCACAGCAGATCTCTCAGGGAAAACTTATAATTTCTCAGGCCAAGAATTCTGTGTGAGCTGTAGTTTTGGTAGATGAGCATGCAGGAATGCCTCTGGAACAGAGTCACATCATGACTTGTAGAGCTTTTTATCATCTGCCATCCCTTGGGAGCAGGAGTCTAACCAAGAGCTTGGGCTTGTAGTTCCAGAGCTTTTTCTTAGTCGCATGTCCCTGTAACATGCAGGGGAGCTGTCAAGGGTTGTGGTGACCATAAATGGCAGTAGAATGTATATTTGTATGTTTGAGTAGTTGTGCCTTGGAGCCACGTGGGGAATCTGTAGGTGGGAAGTCTGATGTGGGGGCTGGCTTGTCCCTGTGATGCCAGTGCTGTGATTTTGTTACAGTTCGAGGTGGCTTCTTGCACCTCGCAGAAGCTCTTTCTTTCCGTCGTGACCCTGACTTGATCAGCTCCACGGTCTGTGCCATCATTGCAACCCTGAAATCAGGAGAGAAGTGTAATGTGGAGCCAGAGCTCATCAGCAAAGGTATGGATATCCTTCTGCTCTCCTTTGCAGCAGCAGCTTGAAATCTAGCCCAGCAAGGCAGTGCCTACTGTCCAGGCTGTGGGAATCTGCCTTCTCCCCGGACCAGAAAATGTGAACTGATCTAAGCTTGGCCCTATCTTGTATCACCTCCTTTCCCCCACTGTATGTGGGTTTATAAACTGTGATCTGGGGTTGGGATTAAGTCTGTGAGAAAACTGTTGGTTTCCACTAACAAAAAGAGAAATGGAAGCCTATTATCCCAGATAAAAATGGCTTTCCTCTTCCTCACTGAGCCTGGCTATCAGGAATAGTACTTGCAAGGTTCCATACCTTTCATCACATGCTGAAGTTAATGAGTGACATCTTTCTCCCTCTGCTAGTCCTTCAAGGTCTGATTGAAACCCACTCTCCATACCTGGAGGAGCTCCTGACTGTCCTCTTCTCAGCTACTGTTGAGACCACTGCCAGGTGTCCTGCCATGAAACCAATTGCTGTGGTGTGCTCCTTGTTGCTCCAGGACAAAGAAGAAACACCAGTAAAGAAGGAGGTGGAGAGTTGCAGGTGAGCCAAGGCAGTGATGGGAATTCACTGGTAGGTCTGGGTACATGGTATCACCAGTGACGCTGGCCTTGCTTTGTCCACAGTGCTGAATCAGCTTGGCCAGGGCCTGCCTCTGGCCTTCTCAATGACTGGCTGGAGATGTTGGACCCAGAGGTCATCAGCAGCTGCCCTGATCTACAGCAGAAGCTACTGTTCTCCTGGAACAAAGTAAGAGTTGTTGGGAAGAGTTGTTGGGCAGAGGGACTGACGTGCTGAAACAACTTTCTGGGGTACTGACCTACACCTGGAAACAGGGCAAGGGGTAGTTTTATGTTTTGCCACAGGTTACTGTATGATTTCCAAAGCACTACAGACTGACAAGGGGACAGTTCAGACAGATCAATAGCTTGCCCAAAGTGCCATGCCAAAGTTGAGGCTGAAAGTGAATTTCACACCTGATGCTATGTTCTGTCAGAAAGTACTGCCCTAAATCCTCTTGCTTTCTGTGCTGTCTGCCCTCATGGGTTGTCATCCTTCTGCCATACACATGGCATCTCCTACACCCACCTTGCTACCAGGGGTTGTTCATTACATCTCTTCCTCTTTCGGTGCTTCCAGGCAGGGTCCCAGGTGCCCTCCTTCCGCCCCTACCTCTTGGCTCTTCTGACTCACCAATCCAGCTGGACCACACTGCACCAGTGCATCAGGCTTCTACTTGGCAGGAACAGGGAGCAAAGGTGAGTCTTGTTTGTCAGGCATAGCCAAGGGATTGAGTTGGGCAGCTCTGTCTGAGAGAACAAGACCTGCCATGTTCATGATGTGTCTGCCAGGAGATGTAAGTCAGCCAAAAATAGACTTTGTGAGAAAAATGCAGATTTCAGTCCTGCTGATTTGTGTACCTTGATATAGATATTACCTACTGTTTGATGGAAGCAGCACATAAAGATTTGGCTGTGTTCTAAACAGGAAGTGCTAATTGTGGGTAATCCATCTTGCATTGCCTTTGTTGATAATCTTTATGAACACAGGGTTTTCAGGATGGCTTGGATAGCAAACTGAGGGCTGTCTCTGTACCTGGGCAGGCTCTGATGGATATTTTGGTTGTATTAAAATCCATTTCCAGTCTTTCTCTAAGCCTTTCATGACATCAGCCTCCCAGTTTTGATCTCTGCAGCAACCTTAGCTCTCAGCTTCTATACACAGCTTTCAAATACTGAAGTTCCAGTGTAGTAGCATTATGTAGTTATGGACCAGGAAATGCTAATACCTAATAACAGCACTACTTTAAAACTGGTAGTATTTCAGTTTATTATTTTACTCTTAATTTCTTGCTCAAAATTACATGAATTTCTCAGTTCAAGGTAACTGCTGTGATAGGGACAGTAAGGTCATTGGTCTGATTGTACCAACTGTTTGTGTTGATGACCAACTCCTGGCCTTGGTGCAAGGCTCCACGTAGCCCCCATGCTTACTGAATGCCATTTGTTCTGCTCTGTACCCTGTGCTGTGCTTATTGCAACAACTATTTAGTCATAATCTGGGAACAGAACCAACCCCCTTCTTGGGACTTAATAGATCCTATTTTTACATTTGCAGATGTTTCTTTCTTCACAGTACTCATCATGTTTAGTGATGCTTCCATGTGTTTGTGTGCTGCCCGAGGGTTGTGTTGACTCTAATTGCAAATCTGTCTTCTTTTATCTTCTGGCAGATTTGACCCAACTGCATCCTTGGATTTCTTGTGGGCCTGTATTCACATTCCTCGGATCTGGCAGGGAAGGGACCAGAGAACTCCTCAGGTATTGGTTCACTTCTTCCAAGATTCCTATCTGGATGGAGTGAGAGGCAATGTTTTCACAGTGCCTGATTTTTCCATGGCCAAGAGGTGGCTGGAGTGATTCAGGTGCAGTGTGCCAAGTTTGATGCCTGTACCTCAGCTGGTTACTTAGCTGCTCTGCTGTTACATATTACAGTGGCAATTTAGAGTCCAAAAACTGATAGGAACACATAAAGTTTGCCCACTTGGCATTTCCCTTGCAGCAATTGCCACAATATCTGGTAAAGGCACAAGGCTAGAGTGTAAAGCAAGCTAAAACCCAGCATAGGATAATTGCCATTTTACAAAGAAAAGGAGGCTGTGTGTCTTCTCCACAGAATTTCTTTGCTTTGGTGACTGAATTACGCTTTCTGACCCATCACACATGCTGAGATGGAAGTAAATGAGAAGTAGAGGAGGGGTAAAGAGATTTTATTTGGGGCTGTGATGCTTTCAGAGCTCTAGATATGGAGCTGTTCTTAAGTCTGGTTTTAAGAAGTTCCATTCCAGTCAGGGGAGGTATGACCAGAAGGAACTAAGGATCTTGGGATTTGGTGTGGAATCATTTGGGGTGTTCTCTTGCATTACAGAAGCGCCGTGAGGAATTCGTGCTCCACCTGAAGGCATCAGAACTGATCAGCATGGTGGAGCTGATCCTGGCTGAAGCAGAGACCAGATACCAGAATACTGACGAGGCTTCCTGCACACTCATCCAGTCCCGACTGCCGTTGTTGCTCAGTTGTTCTCACGGAGACCTTGAGAACGTCAAAAAAGTAACAGAATATTTGACCAGCTGCATCCAGCAGTGGGGAAGCAGGTGAGGCTGCAAATAAGGAGCATTGTCTGCTGGAATTGTAGTTCTTGGGCACAGGCAGGCAGGTAATGATGAGACTTGCCAGTATATCTTCATTAAGAATATCATGTTCCAGAGCCTGTATGAAAAGTGCACACTATCCTTCCTGAGGTTTGGGGGAATAACAAGTGGTTTTAAGTGGTACTCAGATCAGGAAGCTGACTTCATAAGTGAAATTTAAGGGCTCTTTTGCTTTTAGGACTTCAGAATGAAATTCTTGACATGCTTGGATTTTTTCCTTTCATTCTTTAAGGCAATGGTTATTTTTAATTACTAGTTCCTAAAGTGGGATTTCTTGTCTACTCATCCCTTGAGTCACTGCTTGTAATACATCCTGCTTCTGACTTGCTTTCAAAGCTGAATGGAGACCAAATTGTTTCCTAACAGCTATTTTAGGACTGTAGAAAGAACAGGAAGATGATGTTTTTGTGGCAGTGAAAGGAACTGACCTAATTCCAACCTTGCTTATGGTGATATTAGGAAAGATTCTGAGTAACTGTTGCTTTCTACTGCCTCCCAGTAGAGACTACGTCAGGGATCTGCAAGGGTTTCAGATGTATAGAGAATATGTTGGTTAGTCTGAATAGTTGTAGTTCTGACTTCTTCTCCAATTGGGATGGGGATGACTGTGAGTACCACATGCTGGAACTCTGCACTGGAGATGTAAGCAGAGCTTTATGCCTGTTGGAACTGCAGTTTTCTAACTCCAAATGGCCTCTTGATGGATCCCCATAGACTGTGGATGGATTTGAGTTGTTCAAAAGCATTGATTGGGATTAGTGATGTCTGTGTTTTCACATGATCTGTTTGCCACATGCAGGAAGGCTGTTACTAATCTGGTGGGTCTGGGATGTTTGCTGGTTGAACTAATGTAGTAGCCAGTGGCTGACCTCTCCCTTTTCCCTTTAGCTCTGTGGGGAAATGCTGCCAGGACCTTCTGCTGCAGATATACCTGCAACTACCTGAGCTCCTTGTGCCTATGCCTGAGATGCTTCTTACCAGTGAAGGAGCCAGAGACAGCAGCACTTGCAAGGTAAAGGTAGAGCCATAGGAAAGCCCCTTTCCAGTTGTGTATGCAGAATGGATGCTACCTTGATGCTCAGTTTAGATGGTGTGGACTGTCAAAAACTTCCTGGGTGACTTTGGTTTCTTTATTTTGCTCTTCTGTTACCCCATCCCTGCCTGCACTCTCCAGAGCAGAGTTTCGGTGTGGTTTATTTTGCAGTGTCCTTCTGTAAAATAATATAAGCTCCACAAGCTTCTGTGTGCCAAAGGCTTCTGTAAGGCACAAGTGTGCAGGCATCTGATCCTGCTTTGATGTCTGTAGGGACTGTGGACTTCAGATCCCATGCCAGCTGGAACACTGCATCGACTCACAGATTCTACCTGAAAATAATTTCTGTTAACCCCCCTGTGTAGCTGGAAAGGAATTGGGAAACACTGCTGGAGAGCCAGGGGCTGGTTTGTACATTAAACTTCTTAACAGTTTGCTCATTATTTTTCTTGCAGCTTGATGCCCTGGTTCACAGATTCATTAACCTCCTCGCAGACACCAGTGACTCCAAGTCATCCGAAAGCCGCGTGTGGGATGCCAATATGGCCTGCAGGAAGTTGGCTGTGGCTCATCCCATCCTCCTCCTTAGGTACCTCTCTCTCCCTGTGTGTGGCTGGGGCTTATTGAAAAGCATCCACCCTTGTCCTAGAAAGGGAACAAACTTGAAACAATCACAACAGTGGTGAGAGAATTCACCTTCATGTACAGAAGTCAAGAGAAAAAGCAGCAAAGTTACAGCTTTTACAATGAGGCAAGACCTTGTGTCTGTCAAGAAATAATCTTGGAATTGGAGACTAGGGAACAGAATATGGGTGGGAAATGGGGCTTGCTGAGTCTATTGATATAGGGATCAAGACCAGAACTCTGAGAGAGAGTAAGGGATTTTGCCTTCCAGGACTGAGGAAACATGTAACTTTCAAGAAAGATCTAGGCCTAGATTTTCTTGTTTGGTGTTCCAGGCACTTGCCAATGATTGCAGCACTGCTGCACGGCCGTGTTCACCTCAATTTCCAGGAGTTCAGGCAGCAGAACCACTTGACCTTCTTTATCCACGTCCTGGGGATCCTGGAGCTGCTCCAGCCGCAGGTCTTCCAGAATGAGCACCAGGCGGCACTCTGGGACTGTCTCCTGTCCTTCATCCGTCTGCTGCTGGTAGGAAAATCCCTGCTTCCCTCCTCGTGCAGGCTGCTGGCCACTAGATGGGGAAGCTCGTGTAACACAGGGCCAACCTTGGTGCTTCTCATTTGAAGGGAAAGCCTTCCTAAATGCCTAAGAACAAAAAAGTGCATTAAGTACCTTGGAGAGCTTGAAGAGGAGGCAGGAGGTCAGGAAACTGCTTCCTGGTACCCAGAGGTGCAGGATGGGACAGTGCATTGCTGGGTTTATTTGGTTAACTCTCACCTTCTTGATCCTTTCCCAGAACTACAGAAAATCCTCACGGCACCTGGCTGCCTTCATCAGCAAGTTTGTCCAGTTTATCCACAAGTACATCACGTGCAATGCCCAGGCAGCTGTCTCCTTCTTGCAGAAGCACTCAGATCCACTCCAGTAAGCTTCCTTATACCTCTTAGCCCATGTACAGTCAGATTGCCAGGAGCTATTCAGAGAGAAGGCAGTAAGAGGATGTGACAGAGTAGCTGCTAATGTGGCACTTTTTCACCCATGGCTCCCTTAAGCCTCCATTGAAATGAGCAGCATATCTCTTCTTTATAGGTGAAAACTGAGCCCAAGGAAGTCACATAATGACTTTAACTCACATGATGGCCTAAATGTTATATTGAGATATTTCCAGAGAGGCAGCTGCAGAGTCTTTCCCCAGAGCAGTAGCTGCAGGGTCTTACCTACAGATACGTGGGGAAAATGCATTTGAGTTCCAGTTATGAAGAAAAGAAAAATCTTGTTTCTGCTTCTGAGAAGCTCTTTGTTTCAGTGTACATATCTGTGCTCATGCCCTTGTTGCTATTGAAAGCCAAACATGCCACCTCTTTTTCCCAGTGACCTGTCATCAGACAACAGTGACCTAGCAATGCTGAAGTCCCTCCTGGCTGGGCTGAGTCTGCCTAGTAAGAGTGGCATCTTGGACAGGGGCTCTGATGAAGAGAAGGATGGTGAGTCTGGGTGGAAGAAGAGTTATTCCAGCTGGTGAACCTGCAGTCTGTGTTGGAGAATAGGTGTTTTTGTGGGGTGTATACTGTGCTTGTGCTTGTAACATCTGAATGTGTTTAGAGTGGAAATTGCACTTGTATGCTCAGCAGTTGGGAACCAGTATCTGGGATGGGTTAATTTGTTTTCCTGCCAGTGGTATCCCTACTGGAGCAGAAGAACAGCCCTTAACAAGGGCTCTCTCTGTCCCCCCAGATGAAGCAGCTGCTGGCTCTCTCCCCCTGGTCAGCGTGTCCCTCTTCACTCCCCTCACACCAGCTGAAATGGCCCCGTATATGAAGAGGCTCTCCAGAGGCCAAACAGTGGAGGGTGAGTGAGGACCTGCAGAGCTGTGCAAAGACACAGGGCAAATGCAGACATTTGTCAACCTTTTTACTTATCTTTCAGCAGCAGCCTGGTTTCCTGTTTCAATCTTGTGTTTGGAAGTCACCAGCAGTTAGGATGTTGTTCCATTTTTGGATTAACTTGTCCATAACCTCCTGTGATTCTGTGACAGAGGCTTCCTATGATTCTGTTACCACTTAGCTCAGCAGTACTTCAATGGCCTCTACTTTGAGGCTCTTCAAGGATCTTTAAGTATTTTGGGAGATAGTATGAGTAAATCAAGGAGAGCTGCAGTTTGAGCCAGGTCTGAAGTGCTGATAGGAATGAAATACCAAACTGATGAGAAGCAGGATTTGTTAGAAATCCCCAAATGGCCTTCATGGAAGAAAACCATGTAAACCTGGCATATGGGAACAATAATCTTCTCCAAAGTCTTCTTTGGAAATTACAGGTGTCCTGTGTTCAAACCTAAGTTGTGACAGTTTTCCTTCCAAGATGTAGAATAGGACAAAAAAATCCTGCCTGTACTCTGTTTTTTAAAGAGACACTCTGTGAAGGTATTTAGTTACAGAAGAAGGTGCTCTGGAACTGAAACCTCTCACCCCAATTGCATTCCTTCCTCTGTCTGGGCAGGTTGGTTGTGTTGATATGGCACATCCCTGCTCTTCTCCTTTTTGAAGAACTGCCTTTATTACACTGCCTCTCTGTGCAAGTGGGAAAACTTGATGGCTTGGGAGATTGGTTTTGTGGGGAAAAAGAAGAGATTCTCTGTTAGATCAGTGAATTTCAGTCACCTTTTCAACCTGTGTCTTCTCCCAGACATCCTGGAGGTGCTGACAGACATTGATGAGATGTCCAGACGGAGGCCAGAAATTCTTGCCTTTTTTGCTGTGAGTATTGGTGTCTCAAGCTTCCACTGGAAGGAAGAGATTCATTTCATCAGTCTGTTGCACAGCCAGCTTAAGCACTACCCTCCTTCTGCCTTTTGGATGGTTGTTGCAGCACATTAGGAGAAAAATGTCTCTGGGCAGACAGTGTTTTCCTCCATTGCATACTGCCTCAACCATCATCTGCTTTATGTCAGGGGACAAATTAAACCTCTGTCCTCTTCCCAGGGCAAGGGGAGAACAGAACAGACCAGCTCTGTTGAATAAGCTGGAAACTAGGGAAAACTCAGCTGTCCACATGAAACAAGATTTCAGAAGGGTACTTTAAAGTAATCAAAACCAGGATAATCTGTCTTACAGAGAGGGATTTCTGGGGTCAGCCAGTACCTGCTGGATTTGTGTTGGGCTGGATTGGTGTGGAGGGGGAGTAATGCCAGACTGAGGAGTTTGTGCTCCCTGAATGGCCCTGTGAACCACATTTGTCCATCTTTCAGACCAACCTACAGAAGCTGATGAGTTCATCAGAGGATTCCTGCCGAAACCTGGCCTTCAGCCTGGCTTTGCGCTCCATCCAGAACAACCCCAGGTGAGCACCACTGGAACTGAGGCTGTGCTGGCTGATCTGGACTGTACTGACACTGTCATGTTTCACTCCCAGCATTGCTGCAGATTTCCTGCCCACCTACATGTACTGCCTCGGCAGCCGAGACTTCGAGGTGGTGCAGACAGCGCTGAGGAACCTGCCTGAATACACCCTCCTCTGCCAAGGTAGGTGGAGATCAGCCACCTCTGGGCATGGTTGGCCTCAACAGGGTCAGAGCTGGGGTCCTGTGCTGGGAACAGCTCCCCTGGGAAGTTGCCATGGATTGCTGTTGTTTCAACCAGGCCGTTAATACCAAGTAGCTTTGGGCTGAGCTTTACAAGGAGAATTTGTCATAGAGACAAGGGGGGTTTCTTTGAAGTAGATTTACTCACGGTTTTCTCTGATTTGTGACCTCTCACATGATCACAAACCCACAGAGCTGTTAGATGGGGGATTGTGGCAAGTTCTTATGGAAGGAGAGATTTCTCATGCAGCTGCAAATGCTCATCCAGTGGTTGTTGGTGGATTGCTCTTGCACACGGAGCCCTTGGGCCAGTCCTCACTCTGCCTTTCCCTTTCCCAGAGCACGCAGCAGTGTTGCTGCACAGGGCCTTCCTGGTGGGCATGTACGGCCAGATTGACACCAGCTCTCAGATCTCAGAGGCCTTGAAGATTCTGCACATGGAGGCCATGATATGAGCATGTGCTTCTGGGAGTTCCACTTCCAGAGGAATTAATTTAATGGATTCATTAGCTGCATACAGCCCTGTAAGAAGAACAGTGTATTGCAACCCATGTGCTGGAGGATCAAAGAGGTGATGTGGCAGGCCAGACTGTGCTGGAAAAGAAGAAGGTGCTGACTGAAGATCAGAAAGGGGCAAGGATCGATCTGGCTGGCTAAGATGCCATTATTGTGGGAGAAAAATCTCCTGAACATTGTGCCAAACAGGGACCACTTCCTTCATGGGGTCTTGGGGCAGTGGCTGTCAGTTTGTTGTTTGGGGCTTTTTGTGTCTCCAAGAAGACAGAGGTGCTGGGAGAGCAGAAGGGAGTGAGTGATGGCCCTTGCACTTGAAGTGTCTGCACTCTCTGTGGTGGAGAGAACATGCAGATTTGTGCAGGGGGAGAGACCACTTTGGTTTCTGGGGGTGGGTGTTTTTTTTTATTTTATAATTAAAATTATCTTTGTTTCCATTGTGCCTTTCTCTGCTCCCTTGGGCATAGTTTGACATCATTCTCCCCCTGTTCTTCAGTCTGTTGTTATTCTAGACAAAGCATCTCTGGAAGACCTGTCTCCATGGCCAAGTGCTCACAGAGCTGTCTTGGTCTTTTACAGGATATGCAAGAAACTGAGCAGATTTGGAAGGGTCAGTGGAGTACAGTGGATGAGTTGGATTGAGAGGTTCCTTGGAAAATTTTTGTTTAAAAACAAATAAAACAAACTTCTTGATACATCTGTAACCATTCCAGCAGCTGGCCACTGTCAGAACTTTGAACAAGCAGCTGGGATCTGCCAGTTCCTCCCGGTGACTCTTCTGACCACTGCTCTCTGGTCCTTGCCTGCTGATAGGGGTGATGGTTTATTTGCCAGCTGTCATTTGAGGACAGGAAATCTTCCTTTCCCCTGCTCCAGAGAAATTACTGCTCCATGTGCTTGTTCTCCAGCTTCACTTAATTTTAATCACCAGTTTGTTCTCAATCACCATTTGTCTCTATTCCTCTGGTGCTCCAGAGAAACACTGTAATATAGCAAAGACAAATATCCTGGAGGAATTTTATCTATATCTCCTTGCTGGTGGCAGGGACAATTGTGACCTCATAGGTGGCTGGGTGGGGAAATACTGTCTGTGCTTGCACATGGGGAATACCACAGCTGAGCACTTTAGCTAGTGTGTCAAAATAGGAATGAATTTCCAGCTTTCTTTGCAGAGAAATGGAGAAGAAAAGGAGGAGAACTGAACCTCCCATCAGCTCTAAGTAGCCTTGTCTTTAAACAGAGATTAGAGCCATCAGTTATGGATACAACACGCTCTTTTCCTCAGCAGCATCTGCTTTGCATCCAGAGCCACTACTGTGGCAATTAGCTCCATATAAATTATGTGGAGGAACAGCTGAAGGAGATCAAGTCAGTGGAATGGGTTTCCTGAGGGGCTCAGTGACAGCAGGATTAACGCCTGTCCAAGGGGAGCCAGTAATCTCACTGGGAACCCTTACCTTAGTCCCTTATCACACATCATTAAGGCATTGCTCAGTTTGTCAGAGCAGGGAGGTAGTTCTGTTGGTGCTGCTGTGGGCCTGGAGCAGCTGGAAACTTGTGGGACTTCCTGGAAAAGGGCTTTTAAGGACTTTGAGTCAAGGAGCAAGGAAGATGTCTCAAGACTGTTATTGTGCAAAGACAGTGAGTCAAACACGATAGCTGTGCTTTGGTGAAGATCCTCCGCAGCTGGGGCTTTCCAGAAATTCCACTCTGGGGCTGCAACTACAAACATTTACAGGCAAAACCAAACAATGTGGTTGGTAGCAAATTGTCCTGTGTCTGCTTTGCAATGCCTGTGGTGAGCAGATCTGCTCCAGGATGCCTGGGTCACAGGAGCAGGGCACACTTGGATGTTGGCAGAACTACTTCATGACCCCTCAGTCCAGAGCAGACAGGCTTTGCAGAGCTGCGTGGAAAGAGATGTGTCTGGGAAGCTGGAATGATCATCTCTTTAGCAGCAGCAGCAGCAATCACCTTTTGGGAGATCAGGAAATGAAGTCAAATGGAGATGATGTGGGTGGAAGTTACTTTGCAGAACTGAGACTTCCCATAGATCTCCCAGTACAAAAATCATCATCTGTGATTTGTTGATCTCTCATTTTTGCTGTGCTGAAGGTTCCCACAATGCATTTTCTCTGCTGCCATCCTCTGCTTGGACCCAGTGGAGCTAAGCAGGCTGTCTTGGCTTGAAGCACATCGTCAAAACCAGATCAGTGCTGAAAACAGGGCTGTCAGAGGGTGCCTGGCTGTGTGGAGACAGCTCAGGGCAGGAGCCCATCCCTGCTGTCAGGGAAGGCAGCCGTGACAGCTCTCAGAAGGTTGGTGACAGTGGTATGATGCCCTGACACTTGCCTGCCTGTAATCTGTGCTCTGTAACTTCCATCTCTGCCTGGCTGAGCACCTCCTCTCCTCCCACCCTGGCTCAGCTGACAGTGTCACCCTTCACAGCTCTCCCAGGCTCCTCCTGGGGCTGGGGCCATCTTCTGTGTCTTCAGGAGCTTGTGCCTTGACCAGAGGAGGAGTGTGAGGAGGTTTGCAGGGTCTGTCCTGGCCATGCCCATGGGACTAGTGCAAGTCACTGCTTCCATCTGCCTCACAGGCAGTGCATCCCAAACTGGTGCAAAATGCTTGTTTGGATCCTTTCTAGCGAGAGCTTTCTAAAGAGCACTGGGCTGCCAGAGCTGGTGTCTGGGGCTGGGGAATGTATTTAACACTGACTCATGGGGAGGCTTTTTGTCTTCTCAGATACACTGGGAATCCCTTGCCAGCTGTAGGGGGAGGCATGACGGGGAAGAGAAAACTGCCCAGAGGTTTGTTTCTCATCCTGTGGCTGCATCCAGCTCTTGTCCAGCATGCACATGATGGACCATCACTGCTTGGCTGGGCACAAATGGACATTTCTAACCTGGCCATACCACACATTTGCCAGGCCCTGTGTGGCTGGAATTGTGGCCCCTCACATGTGCCAATGCCCTGGAGGTTTGTGGCTTTTTGACACAGCTCTGGGCAAGGTTATGCATCCCAGGAACTGTGAGGGGTGTCCTGGAGCAGCGTGTAAATTTGGTCATGAGCAGGGCATGACTAACCAGGGAGGTGCTTGCCTGTTCCTGACTCAGTGGCCACTGCCTCTGGGACATGCTTGGCACCAGGATGCTGGATGAGTCCCAACACTAAGCTCAGAGGAAAATCTGCCCAACCTGCTGTGCCAACAGTGGAAGAGCAGGGAAAGGTGTGCAGGTAACAGCCACCAACTGGGACTTCATGGCTAAAGTCTGATGTTGTGCCAGCTGTGGGAAATGAAAAAGGGTAAAGAGAAGCCACACCTTGCAAGGAGCAGCAGGCAAGAAGTCTTGCGCAAAATAAAAAAGAAGAGGCAAACTCTGTCTCCATTAGCTCGTGTCTGTGAGTGGAGTCTATTCCCAGGACTGCTCCCTGGGGCCCTGCCATCCGCCTCCTCCAGCCAGCCTCATCTGTGACCTGTGACAACTGCAACCCTGGCCCTGCCTGCCCTCAATTAACTTCTTCTGGCCATACCACACTTCAGGACAGTACAGTTCACACTTAACTCGAGCACTTGTTTGCTAAAAGCTAAAAATGGTAAGACTTTTGTTAGCTTTAGGAGTGTCAAAGAGAGCCCCATGCCAGCTTAGCAGCCTGGCTGCTAAAGGAATAACATTAGCCTGAGGTGGACTGCTCTTGATGTTGCCTGTCCTTGTATTTAGATAATTTGTCCCTAAAGTAGCAGAATATAGAGCTTGAAAATTCCATAATTTTAAAATCAGAAGACCTCTGTAATGACATATCTGCCTGTCCTGTGCTCCTGGTGGTGTTTTGGTATCAGCCTGTATGCAGGAACACCATCTCTAACACAAGAAGATACTGGCAAAAATGTCAAGACCCCCAGCAACAATTAAAAAATTAATTAAGCTACAGTAGTCCAATCATTGCTGGGTAATTATTAAGCTGCAAGAATTGCTAATTGTCTTATTAGCATTAAGCAATTATGCAAATAATGGAAAACATACCATAAGAGTAATAACATTACCTCCCTTTCTCTCTCTTTTTCTTTTTTTTTTTTTTTATTTAAACCAATAATTATATTAAAGTGATACATAGGGTTTTATTGTATCTTTGGAGAGGAGTGAGACCTCTAAGGGTATTCAACCCTTTTGGGGAATCCCAAAACACATCTACCATAAATTCTCTTGCAGAGTTTGTAGTGCCCCACACCAGGCCATCCTCTGGTTCTGCACCCACCAAGGCACCAATACAGGGACACAGAGTGCTATGCCAGGACTGGAGAGTCCCAGTTTTGTACTGTCATAGATATCCTAGGGGAGTCCCTGTTCCCCCTCTCAAACAAAGCACATAATGTCTCAGGTTTGGTCTGGGTGAAAACAAAGCAATTTGTAGTTTTTCTGTCAATTCGGTGCAAAAGTGGAAAGTTCTGGCCCTTAGAATTACGCTGTCTCAAGGATTTTATTGCTGTTAAGTTCGTAACCTGAGGTAAGGGCTGGCTTCTTCTCCAGGTGAGGTTCCAGCTGGATTTCAGGGTTCAAAAATAAGCTGAATGATGAGCAAGTGTTTTTTTGCTCCTTGAAACAAGAACAAGACCTCACAGACCTCACTTATCCTCACTACCAGGAAAAGGAAACTTCACTTACACATGGCTACAGAGGGCCTGGAAAACATGAAGGGCTTTTTTGCTTCAGGACGTTCGCACTGTTAATCACTAACAAATTTTATTGGTTTTACAGGCTTTAAACTCTGCTCTACTGATAAGGCACAGCATTTCAAAGTGCCCAAGCCAGCTCCTTCTCCAGGGTGTGTCCTGCTGCTATGGTGGTGCCTTGATAAACCTGGGGTCACTTCACCCACTTGTGTGATCCAAACAGGTTTTGGTGTGCAAAACACACCTTTGCTTTCACTTTCTGATAATAATGGGGATGTTTGCAGCTCCTGGAGGACCAGAGAGAGTGTTCTGCCATGGCAGTGCAAAGACTGGGGATCACCATCATCTATTTCCCCTCCTTGAAAGACAAGGGGAGATCACCTTATGAAATAAATACCACCTCCAACCCTCTTGGAGAGCTCCTTTCAGCTCCCTGGGACTGGTGACCCACCAGGCTGCTGTTTATTCCCTTTTCGTTTTTCCTATCACCTGGTGTGTAGGATGCAGGATGTGAGCAATCTCTTATCTTTGTTGCCTGGAAATAGCTTTCTGAAATCACCCTCTAGCCTGTCTCTCATTTCACTGCATTGAGGGACAGAAAGGCCACTTCTGGCTGGTGGGTAGGAGGGACAAGGGACAAGGGAGACACACTTCTTTCTATTTTGATGTGATATTGTATTATAACTAGGTGATAAGACACTTGTTGTTCTGATGCTCACTGGTTCTGGCCCTTTGAGATTTTAGGATAATAGGTTTACCATTTATGAGCTTCTCAGGGGGATGTGTTACAGAGAGATTTACCAAAGTGCCTTTTCCTGTAACTTCACATTTCTCTTTCATCTTATTGGAAGAATGGAAGAAGTGGAAATTCTTGTTCAGACTTGAATTTAATAATAACTTTTTTCTGCTAGTTTTGCAGGTCAAAATAGTCAGACTCTGAGGGGAGGCAGGTATCATGTGGAAGCATTTCTGCGTGAGTAGCTGTGAAATTGTTGGGGCTTTCTTTTCCCTGTTTGGGGCCTTTCCATCTCTGTGGAGTCAGCCTGGCTGCCTTCTGGGAAGAGAGAGCTGATGAGGCATGTTACTGATGAGGCAAATGGCTTTTCCTTCTTGTTTTAAATCCCTCAATTTAATCCAAGCCATTGGCAAGGGGATGTATGAGAGCTCTTGGCTACAACACACACTTCCTATTGTTGGGAGTGAACAGCCCTGCACACAGCCCACGGCAAAATTATGAAGTAGCTCAATTTGATCAGCTGATTTCTCACAATAGTTAAAAGATGTGATTCTTTCCTATGATGTTATGCTCTCTTGTAAGAAAAAAACGCATCACTTGATTCTCAGCTTCATGACCCCCACATTTCCTGATACGAGGAATCAGGCTCTTCCTCCCCTCGAGTCTTCAAGCTGACAAATGTTGGTCAGGGTTTTTGGGCTTTAGGGTGGCCTAGTCAGATACTTTTTTTTCTCTAGTTATGGTAAAATCCATTGGTTGCTGCATATGGGAACCAGGATAAATTTAAGAAGTGATGGCAAAGTTATCCCCACTAGTCATAGTCATAGTCATAGCAAGTGTCAGAAAGCACCATTTGTCTGGTGCAGTCTGGTATCTGAGAGCTGAAAAGGATTGAGGAAGAGAAAGAAGAATGTCTATAAGTAGAGAAGAATAAATCAGTCCATGTCTGTGGATTGCTGTTCCAACAAGCTTCCAAACACACCGGGGAAGGGAGCTAGGGGAGTGGGCACTGTGCTGCAGGACACACTTTGCTCCATGAGCCAGCTGTGCATCACAGGTGGGAAACCTCACCCAGCACTCTGGGAAAAGCTCAGTGAGCGGGGGCAAGGTCTGCAAAACAGGATAAGGACCTATAAGGCACCCTCAGAGGAAAAGATGTAGAAAGGAGAGGTACAAGAGTAAGGATTTAAAAGCATCATCCTCTGAGAAACATCCTGGGAGAACAGCAGCTGTGGGTAATAGGCAGCTGCACAGGCAGCTCTGCTCCCTTCCTGCCCCGTTCCTCTCTCAGTGTGTGTTAGTTTACCTGTTGGTGCATTAAAGGCTCATCATAGCTGTAAACTCCCACAGAGCTCCCCTTAATCACCAGCTAACACTGCACAAGTCTCTGCTGCCTGTACTTTGGAAAGCCATTATTGGGCTAGCAGTAATACTCTTACTGTATTAGTAAACTCCTTCAGCAATGTCATTTTAATCACCTTAGTGGATAACGTGGACCTGATTCTTCTGGTGTACCAAGGGCTGTACCTCCAGACTAACTCTCTCTTGGGATGCCCAGCTTGGAGCCAGCAACTAACAGTTTCTTCTTCTGGTGTCTGCAAGCCTGGATCTGTGGTACGGCTGTCCCGGTGAAAACCAGGGCGCAGTGCAGGGAGGGACGAGGTGAAACGTGGTGGTCTGTGATACACAGGAGATCACAGCTGCTCTGAACCCAGCCTGGCTTCCCACTCCATGGGTCTGTGTCCCCTGCCACCCAGCCCCAGCTGCCCCTTCCCAAAGCACAAGGTAATGAGAAGGGACTAACTGCATCGACTCATTAAGATGGGTTCGTTAGAAGACAGATTGTCACGTTAAACAAATATATTTTAAAAAAAACAAAGTCTCATTCTCTGGGCTGTGCCCCATCTGGGCCATTAAATCTGAAAGGGGTAAGTACATCTGTGTCAAAGCTGCACGCAGGAGCTGATTTTCAGTGTTTGTGTGATTGGCAACTGGCAACCACTCCATTTCCAAACCTCATTTCCTTCTCCTCGTCTCCCAGTGCTGCGCTACGTCGATTGGAAGCGCAGCAGGGGATGCACACTGCTAAACAGAAACTCCACAGACACATTTCCTAAACCCAGCACTTCTTTATTTCTCACCAAGCCCTAAGGTGAGGGTGGGAAGGGCTGCTCATTGTTAACCAGGCTTTTTGTAAATGATACAATTTTATCAGAGGTGTTGCGGAAATGTGGGACAGCTCATCTTTCAGGGCTCCAGCAAGTGTCTTTTTTGAGGGAAGTGAGTGGTAAAAACCCAACTTTGAGTTAATCCAGCATTTATTTTGATCGGTCCCTTGGTAGTCTGATTAATTTTGAGTGCAGATGTTTCTGCTTTCCATCACAGAATACACCCAGGACCCGGGAGCAGCCTCACAGTGCCGTATTTCCTCCTCACCACACCACTCGTATTACGGTTGTGCAGCAACATATGCTAAGGCCTTATTACAAGGGATTCCTATAAATGGCATAAAGGATTAATAATGTATTTATAACACAACTTTGTTTTAGTATAAAGTGATCTATAAATTTGTAATAAATGTTTTATAATGTTTTTGTAGCCTGTTATAAATGATAAATGGGAGACTATAGATGCCACATCAAATATTCATGCTGCATTGTGTGCATTATTATGCCATTACTGTTCAGGAAACCATTAATAATAAAGTGAATGGAGATGTAAAAGTTGCTGACATGCCCAGCAAGCCATTTATAATGAAATGTATAATCCTTACCATAAAGTAAATACATTGGCCAGTGATTGTTGATGAAATGGAAACACTCTGAATTATTTGTGAGGTATTTATATATTAATGTATATTATCCATATCATGTCACAGAAATGCCGTTAATATATTACATGTATTATTGATTATTTTTACCTAATTTATAGGCAGCTGTTTAAGTGTTACCTTGTCTCTTCTCGTGTTTTGCCAGCTGCATGAG